CAAGTTGTTGAGGTGGCATGGGATCACCCTCAGCCAATTAGTACCCAACGCTCTTAGGACCATGGTTGCCATGCTGGTGGTGGCTCAACTTCAGGGGGTGGAGCTGATGCCGAAGCTCTTCCGAGCTATGTTGGTGCCGAGGAAGCATACTTCCGAGGCTGGTATCTACTATTTCCAACCCCGTAGGAATAAGTCCGTAGACAACCCTTCGTCCATCCACAATTGGAAGAGTAAGTTCTTCTTCCTATCTTGCCCCGAGGGTTGGTCTTTCAATTCGGGATGGGGAGAGGCTTGCTTGACGGTGGACAAGAGTGCCCCCCTGCTTCGGGACGAGGAGGCTGCTGATCTAGCTCACCTACTCGTGCTGTGGAGAGTTTGACACCAGCCCTTGGTGGAGGAGGAGCTCCCGCTGGTGTTCGCGGGGCTCAGTCCTGGTCCACTTGGTAGGAGAGGTGTTGTAGTTTTTTTTCTTTAACACGTTCCCTTTGTCTTTGGCTTGCTGTACTAACACCTTCTTGTTTATTTGCAGAGGTACCCATGGACATCAAGAAGCTCTTGTTAGAGAAGGCATGGGGCAAGCAGAGGGCTTAGGCTTAGAAGAAGGCCGGATAGCAAACTCCGAAGGGCTTGGTCGAGGGAAAGCCTGTAAGGAACGACCGGATTACCGCCCCTCCATTGAGGGGAAATGCACAACATGTCCCTGTCAACCAAGGGGACAAGGGCAAGAGGCTAGGGGCCGAAGACGATAGGAAGTCGGCAGTCGAAGGCAATAAGAGGTCGATAGATCGTGTGAAGGAGCCCGTAGAAGGGGTCGAAGCCAGTCAGATGAGGTCGGTTCTTGCAGTCGAGGCTGGGAAGAAGAGGCCCACCAAGGGAACACCAAAGGGGCAGCCGTCGATGAAGGTGGCTCATCAAGAGCGCCTTGTTGGGGGTTGCCGAAGAGGCCGGGCAGCCCACAAAAGTTTTCCACCCTAGTGGTCCATCTACGAGGGGGATTCTATTACAGAGAAGGGGGTCGGGAAGGCCTTGATGAGCGGGGTGATTCTGCCGAGGGATCTCTTCGAGATGATGCAGAGTGACCCCCAATTTGTTTACAACAAGGGACTCTACCACGTGGACGAGGTACATTCCTTGCCCTTTTCTCTTCGTGATTTCCCCATTTTTTTGTGGCATTATTGATGGCACTTGATGCCGGTCTACCACCACTTCATCAACCTAGGAGATCGAATGGGCCTCACCTTGGAATGCTTAGAGAAGATTAACGAGAAGATCCAAGTAAAGGTTGCCACCGCCAAGAGCAACTGAGACAAGTTTAGGGCTGCCCACAAGGACGAGCAGCAGCTCCTAGTGGCCTTGGAGGACGACCTGAAGGCTGTGAAGGCTCACCTCGACAAGCTACAAGAGGCACTAAAGACATTTGAGGAGGAGAGGGATCGTCTCAACAGCCTCTCCATAGAGTCCAATCGGAGAGAGGTGGGCCGAGGAACGAGCAGTCGAGGCGGACAAGCGGGCAGCTAAGGCTAAGAAACGGGCGGTCAAGGTGGACAGGCGGGCGTTTGAGGTCGAGAGGTGGGTAGCCGAAGCGGTTGAGGCTTTCAAGCTCTCTACCGAGTACTAGAATGTCCTCGCCAAGTATGCTTCTGCGAGTTACCTGGACGGGATCAAGGACACTATGAGGGTCGTCCAACAAGTGATGCCCGAGTTTGATGTTGATGGGCTAAAGGTAATACCTCACTCTCCTTCGGCTTCAGTTGCGATTGTTGATGAGGCTTCTGAAGGTGTCAAGGTCTCTACACCCCCTCCTCCGGCCGGTGGTGATGCTTAGTGGGGCTCTTTTGGCCTTCTCTGCTTTTTCTCTCTTTTTTTTGTGATTGTAAATATGTTCGGCCTAAGAGGCCGTAAAACTTTTTTGTAAAGGCTCAATACTTGAAGTTAATGAAAAAAAATCATGCATTCTTTTTGTACATTGTGCTCCTTTTGTTTTGTGCATTGTGTTCTCCCTTTCTTTCTTCTTTCTTTTTTTTTCTTCGCTGAGGGGTCCCTGCCCCTTCCAACGATGAGACCACAGGGCACACACAAAAAGTTGCTTATACTGGCTCGTTATACGCACGCCTTAGGTTGTTAGGTGGGAGAGGTCGAGGTAGAGCTGCACAACTGAAGTGCGGCTCACCTGGCCTAATTCCTTCTAAGTGTTCACTTAGGCAAAGCCAAGGTGGCCTACTAAAATGTGGGGGAGAGGCCGAGGTAGAGCTGAAGCTTGTCTAGCTCCCTTCCTCTCGTGGTTTCTTAGGCAAAGCCGAGATGACGCTTTGAGGAGGTCGGGGTCTCAGGCTAAGGCGAACCACTGAGTTAGTCGGGGTTGCCGCCTTTAGTTAATCGCGCTGTGTATAAGACCAAGAGGCCATTGGTTGCTGAGGCAGGCAGTGAGGCATGCGAGGCCTCAGTCGTCTTGGGGTAATCTGATGAAGTGTTAGGGTGTTCGCTATTAGTAATATGTCATGGCGACGGTTTGACACGAGTGCATGGTCCTTGGGAGAGGCTGTAAGTATCGACCACTTGCGAAGTCGAGGGGTCTTAGAGACTTAGTGAGACCATGTGTTAAGTTTTGAGCTGAAGAGGAACTTTGCTTCATTCATTCATTACTTCATCAAAAAATTACACTCATCTGTAGTACATCCAAAGGTTCTTTGAGTTTCATGTCTGAGGGATGGGTCTTCCATCTAAATGTTCAAAAGGAAAGGTGTCGGGGCCGATGACTTGCCTGATCCTGTAGGGGCCTTCCCAGTTGAGGCCCAGCTTTCCTACTCCAGGTTCGGGGACCATCACCTTCCTGAGGACGAGGTCTCCCTCTTGGTAGTGCCTTTCTTTCACTTTCAAGTTGTAGTAACAGGCCACTCGTTGCTGGTAGGCAACCACCCTAATCTGTGCCTACTCTTGGGCTTCTTCCAGTAGATGCAGGTTTGCTCTAAGTGCCTCATTGTTCTCAACTTCACTTTATGCTTTAGTTCAGAGCATCGGCTGGTCGATCTTTGTTGGGATAACTGCTTCTATACCGTAGGTCAGGCCGAACGAGGTCTCTCCCGTGGCCGTCTGAGGTGTGGTTCGGTATGCCCAGAGGACACTGTTTAGCTCATCCTCCAACAAGCCTTTGGCTAGGTCTATTCTGGTATACAGTCCATCCAAGATTATCCTACTGGTGACCTCGACTAGGCCATTTGTTTGGGGGTGTCCAACCGAGGTGTATTGTTACTTGATGTCGAGGGAGGCACACCACTCCTGGAACTTAGCGTCATCAAATTTCTTCCCATTGTCGGTGACTAGCATGTGGGGGAGGCCAAAGCGACAAATAACATTTTTCCAAAAGAAGCTCTGAACTGCTTGAGCTATAATGGTAGCCAAGGGTTCGACTTCTACCCACTTGGTGAAGTAGTCCATAGCGACGACGAGGTATTTCCTACCCCCCGTTGCTTGAGGAAAGGGGACAAGGAAGTCCATCCCCCACTTGGCAAAGGGCTAGGGATTGCTGAGAGCTTAAAGGGTTGTGGCTGGTTGATGGCAGAGGTTAGCATGTCTCTGACATTGATCGCACCATCGTACTAGCTTGGTTGCATCCTTGTGAAGAGTTGGCTAGAAGTACCCCTTCCTTAGTTTTTTTGGGCTAGGGCTCGACCGCCAAGGTGGTTACCGTAGATGCCTTTGTGAATTTCTCGGATCACGTATTCACCCTCCTCCTGATGGAGGCATCAAAGGTGAGTCAAGGTGAAGGATCTCCTATACAACTTTCCCTCTAGAAAAGTATAGTGTGATGCCTGACATTGGAGTCGTCTAACTTCATTCCTATCATCGAGCAGTCATCCTGTCAGTAGGAAGTCGATGATGAGGTCCATCCAAGATGGTTCGGCCTCTAGCAGGAGTACTTGGGTTTCTTCTATAGAGGGCCGAGGTAGCTTCTCCATGCGGATAGTGCGATCGAGTGTTGCGTCCAAGGTACTTGCCAGCTTAGAGAGGGTGTCGGCTCTTGCATTCTCGACTCGCGTACTTGTTGCAGGGAAGAGCACTAGAAGTGGCGGGCTAGCTCTTGAACTTTGGTGAGGTACTTCGCCATACTTTGTTCTCTGGCCTTGTACTCACCGTTGACTTGATTCACTACCAACTGCAAATCGCTGAAGACTTTGATATGCTTGGAATTGAGATCCCTGGCGAGTTGTAACCCCGTGAGGAGGGCCTCGTACTTGGATTCGTTGTTGGATGCTGGGAAGTTGAATCTCAACGCGTATTCTATGATAGCATTGTCAGGGGTGAGGAGGATGAGGCCCACTCCCCTTCCTTTGGCGTTGGACGAACCGTCAACAAAGAGTCTCCATGCTGGATGGGCTTCCTCGGCCGAGCATGCCTCTTCTGGTTCATCTTTGAGGTGTCGGCCGAGGGGTCTACTGAAGGTGCATTCTATTACAAAATCAGCCAAGGCTTGCACTTTAATTGTGGGCTTCAGCTGGTACTGGATGTCAAACTCAAACAGTTTGACTGCACACTTGAGCAGGTGTCCCGAGGTCTCAGGCTTGGCGAGGACGACCTTAAGGGGTTGGTTTGTCAGAACCATAATGGTGTGAGCTTGAAAATACGACCTAAGCTTTCTGGTCGAGATAATGAGGGTGAAGGTTAACTTCTTCACTTTGGGGTACTTGGTCTCGGCATCGTAGAGAACCTTGCTGACATAGTATATAGGTCTCTAGACTCTGTCATCTTTTACCAGGACCGAGCTGATGGCTTTGTCCCCCACTGAAAAGTATAAGTACAATGTTTCTCTTGATGCCGGTCGGGCGAGGAGTGAAGGTGAGGCGAGGTATAGCTTTAGCTCGTCGAAGGCGCGCTAGAATTCCTCTGTCCACTGGAAATCTTTCATCTTCTTGATGACGCAGAAGAAGGGAAGGCAGCAGTCAAAGACTTCGACATGAAGTGGTTGAGAGCAGCTATTCTGCTGGGGAGCCTTTGAGTCTCCTTCATTGACTGAGGGGCGCCATGTCTAATATGGCCTGCATCTTGTTCGGGTTGGTTTCAATGTCTCTTTGGGTGATGAAGAAACCCAAGAATTTTCCCGAGGTGACATTGAAGGCACACTTGTTTGGGTTAAGCTTCATGTTGAATTTGCGTAAAGTGTCAAAGGTTTCGTCCAGGTCCAAGGTGTGTGCTTTGGCTTTCTGGCTCTTCACTACTATGTCATCTACATATGCTTCGACGTTCCTCCCCATCTGGTTCTTAAACACCTTGTTGACAAGACATTGGTAGGTGGCCCCCGCATTCTTGAGTCCGAACGGCATCACTTTGTAGCAATATGTGTCATGCTCGGTGATGAACGGGGTCTTCTCCTCATCCTCAGGGTGCATCTTTATTTGGTTGTATCCGGAAAAGGCATCCATGAAGTTGAGTAGCTCGTACCCTACAGTGGCGTCGATGAGGTGGTCTATCCATGGTAAAGGAAAACTGTCTTTCAGGCAGGCTCCGTTAAGGTCTATGAAGTCAATATAGATCTGCCATTTACCGTTAGCTTTCATCACCAAAACCACATTTTTTAACTAGTTTAGGGTAGTGTACCTCTCAGATGAAGTCAGCGCCGAGTAGCTTGTCAACTTCCTCTCCTATGGCCTCCCATCGCTCCGATGCAAAGTTCCTCTTCTTTTTTCGAACTAACCTAGAGCTCGGGTCCACGCTCAACCTATGATTAATGACCAATGGGTCAATTCTAGGCATATCAGTGGCGGACCAAGCAAAGACGTCGGCATAAGTACTGAGGACACTTACCAGTTCGGATAGGCATTTAGGGGGAAGGTTGGACCCAACGTGGACTGCTTTCTTAGGGTTTGCCTCATCCAGGGGAACCGAGACGAGGTCCTCAACCGGCTGGCCTCGGCTCGATGGTTCCTCCCTGAGGTTGAGACCCTCCAATGACAGGGCCTCCTTGTTCTTGCCCTTTAGCATAGCCACATAGCACTGGCAGGCGATTTGCTGGTTCCCACGAACAACTCCAACGCTGTGCTCAGTGGGGAATTTGAGGACCAGGTGGAAGAAAGACATGGCTACCCTCAGCACGTAAAGGGTAGGCCTCCCCATTATTATGTTGTAGGGGGAGCCAACCTTCACTACTAAGAACTCATGCATCCAAGTCACCTGGTCCGGTTCAATCCCTACCATGATGGGCAAGGTGATCTTTCCCTTCGATCTGATGACACTACCAGAGAAGCCGACGAGGGGAACATCAACTGGCTGGAGCCGCTCGGGCGCGAGCTTCATCCTTTCGAAGGTGTCGTAGAAGAGGATGTTGACCGAGGAGCCGTTATCCACTAGGATCTTCTTCACCTTGTGGTTGGTGATGATTGCTGCGACCACGAGGGCATCGTCATGGGGGACTGTGACCCCTTTCAGGTCATCGTCCATGAAGATGAGGGCCTTCAGACAGCTCAGTTCCTTTGAAGCACCCGGGTACTTCTACTTCTTCGGGGCTGGCCTTAGACTTTCAACTGCCTGGCGTAGGCTTTGCGGCCCGAGGCCGAGGCTCCATCCGAGGCCATGCCCCCGACGATGACGTCAATGATGCCTACCACTTGCTGGTGCTGCTACTATTGCTCCTGGGAGGATGAGGCGCCAGCCTCTCCTCCTACGAACGACTAAAGGTGCCCACGACGGATGAGGGGCTCTATTTCATTCTTGAGATCGTAGCAGTCCTCCGTGTCATGCCCAGTCCATGGTGGTACTTATAGTATTTTTTGGGATTTTCTCTCCTGGGGTTCCTTTTCAACTTCTCAGGCCACTTTATGTACTTCTCCTCCCCGATTTGCATTAGTGTCTGGGAACAGGTGGAGTTAAGTGGCGTGTACTCCTTGTAAGCCAAGGCCAAAGGCGGTGGCTTCTTGTTGTCCTTGTCGTTGTTGTTGTTGTTGTGGGGGTTGTCTCCACCCTTCCTCTTCTTTTCAAGGGGCCCGTTGTGGCGCTCGGCTTCCCTTTCTTGATGGTCCCCAGTCGAAGCCTCTTCAGCCGCAATATACTTCTGGACCTTCTTAAGGAACTCCAACTTCGTCTATGGCGGGGTCTTGGCAACCGAGCACTTGAGGGTTGAGCCGACGCGGAGCCCATTAATGGCGGCGTGCATAGAGACCATGGGGTCGAGGTCACGAACCTCGAGCTCTTCCTTTTTGAAGCGATCGATGTAGGACCGCAAGATTTCTCCCTGCTTCTGCTTGATTGACATCAACGAGACCATACTTTTTTGACATCGTCTACTATTGATGAGACGAGCAAGGAATAAGCTGGTAAACTGCTCCCATGAGCCGATTGACTGAGGTGGGAGGCTCGAGAACCAACGGCGATCTGCCTCGCTGAAATTGGCCTAGAAGGTCCGGCATGTCAAGGCGTCAGAATACCCATAGAGTATCATGAGCGCTCTGAAACCTTCTAGGTGGTCATCGGGGTTGGAGCTCCCATTGTACGTCTCCAACGTGTGAGCCTTGAAGTGTTGGGGGAGAGGTTCTGAAATGATGTCTGGGGTGAAGACGCCCATCCTCCCCGTCTGATTGCTTTGGTCGATCAAGGCATCAGCTCGGCTTTTGTGAACTTGTCAGATCTCATCCCTGACGGCCCCGAGCTCAGTGATACGAGGGTTGGCAGGAGCTTGTGCCCCCCCTTTGTCTTCGCGGACACGGTGGTGGCCGACTCGGACTCCAGTGTTCCAAGGCGGGACCACGCGTCTCCCGCCTTCGTGACGGAGATGTGGCATCAGTCCTCGGCCTTGGAATGGGCGTTGTGATGGCCGAAGCGCCCGCCTTTGTCTCGGGTGTTGTCCCTTCTGCCATGGTGATGTTGCTCGAAGGGCTAGTGGTTGTCTTCGGACACCACTGGTTCTTCCTCCCTTCGGCTGTGAGGCCTTTCGTTCCTCCGAGGTGGGTTGAGGGGTCGGCTACTACCCAACTCAGAGGGCTCTACCTGCCGAGTATTGGCTCGGCCAAGGGCTGGTAGTTCAGTCTGCTCGCGCTGACCCTGATGTTCAAACACCCCAGCGGGGCGGTCGCCTCGAGGGCGACCTCCTATCTAGGGGCATGCTTGCTCCATGCGTTGTGTTAAGTATTCCAAAGGATTGAGGACCGCCTGGAATTGCTCATTTGTAACCAGGTTCTGAGTGTTCTTGGCTCTCCGTACCATGGTGTTTGAAGATGGGAAGGTGTTTAGTTCTTAATGCTTTAGGAGATTGTCTTAGCAACGTTCCCATAGAAGGCGCCAATTGTTGATGCTCGGATTGGTGAGGACAAGAAGGTAATTTTGCTCTCAAACTTCGATGAAGATGGTAGAGGCTCTGAAGGTTTGGAGGAGGGGAAGTCGAGGCCGAGGACTGTCTCCGAGGCAGAAGGTCTTCTTCGAATACTGTAGGAGCCAAAGACTGGCACCGAGTACAGTGTGCGAAGGATCTGAAAGAGGTCCTGCAAGGACAGAGGTGTCAAAGGCCTCGGGTGGGTACCCGAGGCGAGGACTCCGACAATCAAATTAGTATGGGGGTTGAAGAGAGGGATCTGGTGCAGACGATGGCTCTAAAGTGGGTGCTCGTATGCACTAGTCTCCTAGGAGGTAAGGTCCTTCACTTAAGTTTTGAGTTAGAGATGGTATTCAGGGGATCCTTTACCTAGAGGGGGATACCCCGTATTTATACTTGAACTGCCTAGAGGTTGGTGGAGATAGACGCCCCCGATGAACTTCATATAAGGGCGGCCAGCGAGAGAAGAGAGGACGTTGAGGCGCTCCGCTATTAACTTCATACGAGGGGAGCAAAGTAGTCCCCACCGTGCTGGACCGGGACCCTAGCTGGTGTCCGTGGGCTGGGCCAGGTTACCCTACATCAAGAAATATTCTTAAATAATTTAACATTTTTCTATTATTGGTGATTGTAAATCTTATGGGTCTAAAATCCGGATTCACAATTAAAGGACCTAATCTAGATTTGAATCATGTCAGGTTCTGCGGGAAACATGCCGCAAACGGATCGGATCGGATCAAAAAAGACATTACCCAGTTTGATTGATTAACATTTGGATTGGAAATCTTATCCATATGATTTTATTGGATTAGAATTCAAATTGGGTATGGAATAACATCAATAAGTTAAACTAAAAATGATCAATCTATTATATAGTTTTAATAAAATGAATTAAAAATGACTTTCGTATTTTATACCATTGAAAAGATTTCGAATCATATCAGATTGGATAGGGTTGGATCCATATTCGATCCATTATAACTGGATCAAATTCTACACACCCTTTTATCGGATCGAATTTGAATTGGGATTATTGGATACAATTTGCAATAGGGATACTGCAACGCGTATCATATTACAGTATATGAATATTCTAGGTAGAGCCCTTGCCCAATGTTTTAAGAAATGATCTAGAATTGGAACCATTTTGGCCATCTGTTCGACAGTTTAATCGTCTATTATAAATGGATGGTCTATTCTGATAAAATAAATTAAAAAATAAAAAAATAATAATTAAACTTTAAAAATAGTTAAAATCCATTGAATGGGTTAAATGGGTCAACAGTTCAACCACCTGGGTTAACGGTTTATTGACCGATTCAACAATTTTTGGCCAAGGATCGGGTTTAGGATAAAACGAAACCAGTTGTTTGAACGGTTCCCAGACCAAACGGTCCAACTGTCCGAATCAATGGCGGTTCAAAAACCATGCCCTTGCCTGAGAGAGCGACAAGATTTCCTGCAAGTAAACTGTGTACACACTCTGAAAGAACTGAAATTCAACATCCCCCATAAATTTAACATACGTGTATAAGAGATATTCCCAGTGTGCAGCTGGATACTATGTCAGCTTTGACACAGAACGCAGGGCTTAGACTGTAAACTTTTTGCCGGACTTCCCGGCCCGGCTGGAACTCCGGGCTGACTGGGGATGATCAGTTGATCACCCCTATCAGACTTACAGACCCGATTATTAATCGGGTCAAGGCTGCAGACTGTACCGACCTAAATCTAAGACTGGTTGTGTCAGGTGATTGGTGTTGGTAGTTGGTAAACCATTGAACTTTCATTCTCACTTCATTTATTCGGATTCTCATGTACTCAAGTACTCAGGAGAGGAGAGAGCAGAGAGGCCTAAAAAATATGAGAGAACAGGCAGACTTTCACGTTAATGGAACTGCAAATTTCGTACCAAAATGTGTAGAATTCATTTGGTTTCCTTGTATGGGAGATGCTCTGATCAACTCTTTTTCTGCACAGATGCTTCAGTATCAACACTCTATATATGTAGTTAAACAATCACAGAAGAGGGCTGAGAAGCAATCAAGAGAGAGAGAGAGAGAGTTGTGAAAGTTGGGAGTTGAAACTTGGGAGGCTTGAGTTCTTGACAAGAGAAGGTATGTTAGAATGTTAATTTGATCCTGTGTTTATCTTTGTTTTAGTGAGTTGATTGACTGGTTTTAGGGTTTTTCTTTTGCTACTTCTGATCGATAAAAACAAATTAATAGAATGTTGTTTTTGTGGGTTTTTCTTTCTGATCATTGTGAATGCCTCTGTTCAAAGCAATGAATTGTAGGTTGTGTAACAACCAAGCTGTTTGAACATTATTGTAGCGATATTTTTGGTACATATCCGGTTCAACCTATAAACCCCAGGAAGCAGTTTGGTAGCTACTACTGTGTTGTTGTGTAAGATTGACCAGGATTTCTCTAGATGACCCACTAGTTCTGGGTTAACCAGGTGACCCGGATGGGGTGGGTGAGATTTGCCTTAAAAGCTTATCTGAAATAGCTATATATAACAATATTTGGGTATCCAAGTTCCATAAATCCAACCTAGCCCAGCCCATAGCCCACTGTGTCTTGAATTGTACCCAAAAAACAGATAATATCAGACATTCAGATCCGGTCTAAGCACAGCCTGGACCGGTAACTCATCAACCGGCCAAAACTTCTTGAACCGAACTTATAATGTTACCCATTTACCTTATATCTACCAATCTGTTCTACATTGGCACCAGTTAATATCATTGTTTTAAGACTCGGCCTGGACCGGACACTTTGACTCTGAAAAATGGGAACGGATGGCCTTTCCGGGTCCTGGTTAAATGGCAGTTTTGGCAGGTTTTCATGGGTTGAATACCGGTTAAAAAACGGACCCTTGGGGCATTCCGGTTTTTAGTCTGGTCCGAGTCTTAAAACACTGGTTAATATCATTGAGTTCAAACTTCAAAGGTTCAGTGTACTGGTCCGGGGCTGGCCGGACCAACATGTAGACTCAAACTTAACGGGTCAACCTCCAATCTGGGTTTGAAAACTGGACTCAGATTTAAAAAAAAAAAAAAAAAACATGTAGACCGTGGGTCCCAGAAACAAGGCAATCAGCTAGAGTGGCGTCTTCTCGAAGTCTTGATTCTTGAGTGCAAAGTAAATAGCTCTCAGTAGTCAAAACACCATGAAAACCATCCTTATTCCTTGTTGGGGTTCAGCCGTTCAGAGCTGAGGATTGAAGAAATTAACAGAGGCTGAGAGGTAATGATGTATGAAAGAACTCAGAGTTTTGTTTTCTGCATAAATAAAGCTTAGATTAACATTCTAAGTTGTTTCTTTCTTTCAGGGCTTCTTACTACTACTTGGTTGGATCACGCAACAGCATGGACTCTCATAACTCAAGCTTTCTACTTCCACTTCCAGGTCTCTCTCTCTCTCTCATTATATAGAAAAAGGTTGATCCAGTGATTTGCATATACATGATATAGTAAGGATGGTAAATTGATCAAGCCACATGTTTGCCACGTCACTCTCTCCTCAGTTCTATCTTCATGTGACACTTTTCAGGAGAGGACCCATTTGCCACGTGGCAAAGGGAAAGGGAAGATACCTTTATACACATAAACAATACAGTAGATTCACGGCCCTCAAGCCTCTGTTATTTTCAACCAACTGGTGTGGAGGAATGTGACCCGTTCAATATGACTGTCAATCAGATTTAAAATCTTCTGGGTTTTCCCTATACACACAAACAATACACTCTTCTGGGTTTGTTTTCAAGAGTTGCAAAACGCACTTCCAATCACATTTTGCTTTCAAGCTTTAAAATCTATACTGTTGTCTTGTAGATGTTTCAATTTGTTTTTTTTTTTTTGGTGTCTGGGATTGGAAATAACAAAATGAAGCCCATTCAGAAAATGCATTTTCCTTTAGTAGGGCTCATTGAGTCTCTCTTGTTCTTAGAATATACACTTTTTTACTTTTCCATGGAGAAACTTTAATACAGGTTTTTCTATATCACATGAATATAGAATAGCCAATTTGATTTTGGATATGCCTAAACCCATAAGTGCTTATTTAAAGCAATCCCAACTCAAAATCAACAGCAACTATACTTGTACATTCTATAAAGGACCATTTTCTACTTTCTTTAACCCAAGAAACTAGCTCTCTTCATTGAAATTATCCATAATTCCAATCTTTGTTTCATTAATTAAGGCTCTGTATGGATAAGTTTTTGGTGTCGAGCTTTAAGCCGTGAAAAACAATTAAACAAAAGGGAGGTTAAAAGTATTTTGAGCATCTGGTAAGAGTTGCTTTTATAAAACTAAAACACTTTTAAGCCCCACAGTACAAAACCAAACATTGGGTCTATGTGCTTTTGTGCTTTAGAAGCACAAGTTGTGATGCTTATCCAAACAAAACCTAACTCTCCAATTTAATGTTTAATACCCTGGAAGATTACAGGCAAACGTGTAACATATAGGTCATCAATTTGACGGCCCTAGGGTGCAATTCCTGCAAGAAAAATAAATATCCTTAATACACAAATATACCTAAGAAGCCATCATTTCATTAACAGTTCAAACATCTGAACTTTTTGATGCATTGAGTTCTGATTCGGTTCATTCTTCTGTGCACTGAGAAGTTTCTTTTGTAAGACTCCATGGGTGAAGGACATTTTGGGTTGATAGTAGCTACACTAAAAAACATAATAATAAGTCATTCAGTTCAGTCACAATCTCAATTATTCTGACTTTTATTACTCACTAGAAATGTTTTCCAAGACTTTCAACTTTTGTGAAGTAATAAATTTAAATTTCTGTTAGGAGATTCGACTAAGAATCTGTCCGAGCTGAATATGTTACAAAAAGAGTTGGAAGATAAGGAATCAATGATTAAAGATCTGAAGCGTGAAATCGAATCAACGGAGATTCGTTTAAGAACTAGCAACCATGAAATTCCAAAGGAAAAGAAGGAAGCTTTCAGAACCTTGAGAGAACAGTATAACAAGCTGCGAGATGAGTATAATGCATTATTGGCGGAAAATATAAAGAAAAAAGAAGAGTAAAGGTATGATCAAGTCTTCATATTCCAACTCTTACCTCCTTGTGTTTATCAGAGAGAGAGAATTTGGGCATTAGTAGTTGGGTATTGTTTTCTTAGTAAAAGATCTTCAAGGTCAGTTATGTAGTAGCAGTAGTACAACCATGGCAAGCTATCTTTGCATGAATCCATGTTTTTCAGATGAGATTCTTAACAAGCTTGGTCTATGCTAGTTTGTTTTTAAGAGCCCTTAACAAGGTCAAAATTGTTGAATGACCTCGATTAAGAAAAACTGCATGAAATAAAGTGGTTAGGTTGATTGAGTCCCAGCTCTTCTGCTCATGGCTTTCATTGAAGCTAAGGTGATTGAAATCTGAAAAGTCAAAAAATTATTAAAAGTGTTTGAAATCTGAAAAGAGGCATAAAAGCTTTTCTACTTTTTAGAGGATCTGAATCTATAAGTTTGTTTGTATTGAATCAACCCTTTACCATCTGAAATTTACTGATTTTACTATTTTACCCCTAAAACATACTATTTAGAAATGTTGAGTTCAATTTGCATTATCTCATAAAAAATAATTTTCAACCTCAAAATAATATTGAAACGATACAAGTAAAAAATAATAAATTAATAATTACTAACTAATAAATGAAACAATTAAAATTTAAAAAATAATGACTATAAAAGTATTAAAATAATTAATAATTAATAATTAATAATTAATAATTTACACAAATAGAAATTAAAATAATTTTTAAAAATGAATGAAATAATTAATAATTACTAGTTAATAAAAATAATTAATAATTGATAAATAACACAAATAAATTTAATAAAAATAATTAATGTTCAATAAAAAATATAAAAATAATTAATGATTAATAAAAATATTATTATTATTCAATGAACCACCATTGTTGCATGTTATAGCAATGGTGATAGTGGTGGGAAGACATGGGAGAGAGAGAGAGAGAGAGAGAATCGATAGGGGAAGAGAAAGAGAGCCACCACTACAACTTGCAGCGACGGTGGCGAGAAGATAGGGCGGAGACAAGGCAGAGAGAGAATGAGAGCAAGAGAGAGAACTGGGAATACAAGGGGAGAGAGAGAGTTGCCGTTGCAACTTGCAGTGACGGTGGCAGGAAGACAGGGTGGAGAGAGAGAGAGAAACAGGAAGACAGGGCAGAGAGAGAGAACCGCCACTGCAACTTGTAGCGGCGATGGCGAGAGAGCGAGAGAGAGCGAGGAGAGAGAACTGGGAATACAAGGGGAGAGAGAGAGTTGCCGTTGCAACTTGCAGTGACGGTGGCAGGAAGACAAGGTGGAGAGAGAGAGAGAAACGGGAAGACAGGGCAGAGAGAGAGAACCGCCACTGCAACTTGTAGCGGCGATGGCGAGAGAGCGAGAGAGAGAGAGAGAGAGAGAGAGAGAGAGAGAGAGAGAGAGAGAGAGAGAGAAACCAAACAAGTCTAAGCGCACGAGAAGATAGGGGTAGTGCACATCATTTCCAAATATTGTAAGGGTATTTTGGACTATGCACCAGCTTTGAAACACCTCTGAACACGTTAAGAGCTAGCTCAATCTCTATTCTTTTCAAATCTGAAAATAAGAATCGGATCAAGTTTAAGAGGTAAAACCAAATAAAGTGTGAGGTTTGAAAATCAGCATTTCAGATTCAGACCTCTTAAAAGTGCAATCAAACGACCCCTAATAGTACCGTTTTGCAGATTTTTGGGGGCTTTTTGCATCCATGTCCCTCCCTATATCTTTGTAATTTTGTATTTCTCCCTCCATTTTTCAAAATTTGCATTTATACTCTTATATATAATTTTATGGATTGATTGCATCCCATCCATGCCCCTACCGTTAACACTGTTAAGACTGTTATATCAAATATGAACTCTTGTACCCTAACGAATTTCATGTGAGTTAAGGTTTGTTGTTCAACAGTAATAAGGTGCTTCTAACAACAGGGGCAGAAGTAGTCAATCTGAAAAAAAGGGGAGAATGCAAAATCAGAAAATGTAGGGTTGTTGATAAAAAATAAATAAATGTAAGGGGGTGCATACAAAATAAACATGGGGGCACACAGAAAACCCTATTTTATAGACACATGCATGCGTGTACTTCAGAATGGCTCTTCAGTCTGGGCCAAGATATTGCCCAAGCACAACCCAAACTAAAATTTTCAAGTCCTAAAAATTGCTAAGACTCGGTACTGGGGTCAGGGTGGCCCTGCCCCGGCAATAACTTTCTTACATACCCCATCTCCAAGCCACTGAAATTCCCATAATGAGGGTAAAGGTAAAGAGTAACAAATATTCATACATCCAACTCTGTTTAGCTCCTGTCCAACTCATTTTTCTCTAAGGATCTTTTTGATGTGTAGATTCCAGGAAATCAGTCCTCCCCCTGCCCCCCCAAAAATCACAGTTTGTGGCAAGTACAGATTCAACCATGGAAAAACTGAACTAGACTTAAACAATGATGTCTTAGGATTAAAGAAATACTGTGATTCCTGTCATGATGAAAAGCAGGAAACAAATTCTCAAGTGCCATTAACTACAGTTAGTAGATTTAACTTTCCAACTTGCAATCTGCCTCCCTCAATGATCGGACTAGATGGGTTATTCGATATTGGAGCTTTGCATTTTCAGCAGTCAGCTTCTGCATCTCCTTTGCAGCCTATACACATCATGAGCAAATGTAAGTTTTATTCATCACCTAGGAAATCTACAAACACAACAAAAAGTAAGCCCTACCTTCTCTCGCTCAGCTAGTTGTTCTGCTTTTACTTCATCTAGCTTTGACTGGAGTTCACTTACAATTTTTGATAATTCTTCATTTCCAGAATCTGGATCAATGATGAAGCCAAACAAGCTTTTACCTGTATTTTCCAATAAATTAGTTGGATGAGTAGAAAAGCTTGGATTGGAAATTACCTCTCTTGTCACCAAGTGCATTTTCAAGTCTTGCTAGTCGATCCTTCAGTGAAAACAAAAATTCTAATCAGACAGGAAATACATTCATTTTCTCAATCCATTCATAAAATTAATCCAATGAGTGCACAAGGAAATTGATGCAACATTTTTTCATCCATGTATTGTATGGTCTTCACAGGATAAGTTACAAGTAGGGTTTAACCAAATGCAGAACCATTTCAATATTTTTTAGCAAAAAATGGACCTGGCCAAACAATTCTAACAACTAAATAACAACACTACCTAAATAATTAGCCCAATATTCTTAATTGTCAAATTGAACAAAATTGATTGGGCAATGAGATCAGCCTCATCGGGATGAGTATGGGTTGTTCATATTAGCTGGTTTCCCTTCAGAATTTGCACTATTTTGAGCCTATATAAAATCCTATTTATTACATTTCGAAATCCAAAAATTCTTTTTATTTTATTTTTCGCTTCAGATTTTAAGTGCTGCCATGAAAATCCTTAGTGCGAGTTTACTTGTTGGTTGTCTTGTGTGGAATTAAGTCCTTAAACCTTACTTGATGCTTTAACTCTATCCACCCCTGCATAGTGTAATTTGCAGGATTCCTGGAACAGAAGCTTGCCCTACATCATAGTTCATAATAGTTTATACAACAACACATTAATTATTATCATTATATATCTAGTCTTAAGAAAACACATTAGCAAGGAAATCATATAATACAAAATATTTTTGTAAGGGACAGGTCAAAAGAAAAGTAAAAAAGCAATTACATGGCATAAATCTAAGAAAATATTGGTGAGTGAAAAAGGAAGATAGGAGAGTGGGAATTTTTATAAATGGGTATTATTCCCACTTAAAGGGATCACTTCAATATAATCTAGTGTATAAGAACCAATTCAACATAATTAGATAACATATATAATTGATTCTACAAACTATCATGATAACTCCTACTCAGCAGTCATGCAAATAGAAAATCCAATTTTGACAAACTGAAAATATGAAAAGGAAAAAGAATCTTCTGGTTTTTGGCATCACTACTTTCTTTTTTTTCTTTTCCTCAAGCTTCAGCTATGTAGTTTGCAAGATCTGGCAGGCTTCTTTCAGGGAATCATCTAGGTAAGAGGTTGAAGGAACCATAGAGGATTGTAGAAATGTGCTTTAGTGGAAAAAGAATAAGATCATAAACCCAATTCATCACTGGCAAAGTAACTCATGAGTCACAACCAAGAAAGAACACCAGTGACTAAATGTTAATAGTTGCGAGTTGACTCTGATGCAACTGTTCTGAAGATATTGTTTCTGCATGCAAGTCTCAGAAACATAGAAATAGAAATCCTGATGGAATAAAATGTATTTCCGGAATGTATTGGCTCAAAATATGCAGAACCTTATAAGCAGAAGAAAAATAGCAGACGTATAAGTATTTCTAACAATATGCAACTATGCTCACAAAAGCTTCTTTTACACCAGAATGGTGTAATGAACTAATGCATGGAAGCTTTATTTTACTAAGTTTTCTTATAGTTGTTGAAATCAGAAGGGAAAACATCTTAAGGAATACTGAATTCCTTGCAATGTATTAAGATCAAAATATGCAGGAACTTCTAAGCACTATAAAAAAATGCGGAAAGAAATAAATAGCTATCTTTTAATACTCTTTTTTTATGCTTGTACATAAAAATGCTGCTGATAATATGCTTGTTAAAGGCTGCTTTCTAGATTTTGCACCAGAATGAAAGTGGTATTGGAAATTTTACATTGAGAAATGTTGCTACTAATGCACAGCATCATCATTCTACTACATTTTCTTAGAGCTTTTGACCTTTAAACTGAAAGAAGTGAAGACACATTGAGGAACTTCTGTTCCTGGAAGGAAAAAATGTTGTAACATATTATAAAAGCCAAGAGCAGATATAAAGAGAACTCGTTTACTTATTAGGGATGGGCATAACTGTATAAATTTGAAGACAATGTGATTATGAACAATTAATTTAACTACATGTGCCATTGTTTTACATAAACTTATGCTTTAACTTGGGTTGGTTGTATTGTTAACTTGTGCCACATTGTTTTAGATATTACAGGGACAAACTGAGTATCTTGACAATCATGGTACTCCATTTAAGTTAATAATTTTGTTTCCTTTTATGATTCAGAACCCATATCCAGATGTAGTTTACTTTTTTCCCTTTTGTTCAATTTTAGGAACAACTTTGCATTGTCTAACAATTTTAGTAAAGTAAATAGAATATTATGAGTACGATAAATGGAAAAAGTAGCTACCTTCAGCACCTCCCTGTATGGTGAATATGCTTAGACAGTATTTCATGCTATTATATTTATATTTTAATGAACCTCTAAATTTTATCATGTTTATGGCACGTACCCTCTACTAGTCTATTTGAAAGGAGAAAAAAAAAACTTCTGTTTATCTTATGAAAAGCTATTTTCTAGTATAAACAACAACCTAGAAAGTTACTGCTTCTCCAATATACCAACAGTTTGAATGAAAACAGAGCATTTTTCTTTCTTTCACAGATCATCTAAAGCTAAATATAAATCCAAATCAGTTAAAAGATAACATCTATGCATAAAAAAAAGGTCTCCAAAAGAAAACCTAATGCCAACGGCTGTGCTTTGCCTCATTAAGATCAAAATTACCAAATTTTATCTCATTTCCCGGAATCCATTGCCTATTATCTCATGTAATACAAATTAGAACCTTTAGCGCCATGAGCAACCATTTCCATATCCCAGTTACTCGCTCCATCACCAAAAGAGGAAAATGAGATTCCAGCATATAACAAAAAGTAATAGAACAGAAGCTACTTGTTGAGAAAACCCTACTTATGGGTCTTAACAGAAAAACTAATTCAACAACAAATAAAACCCTAAAAATTTATAAGTGGTTCGAGAAAATAAATGTGTAATTAGGAAAGAGAAAAGGAATTGGAGGGGATAGAAGATGGTGTCCTCTAACCTCAGCTTCAGATGCCCTCTGATAGAAGGGCTTCAACACCTCCTTCAGATCGTTCGATTTCTCTGCTTCCGTCATTTCTCGACACCAGACCTTACTGGTACAGAACGACTTCAACTGAAAACGGCGCGGCCGTTTAAAACGAATGGAAGTATGGAACTTTTGAAGTCAAAGAGTTTGCCAGAAATTACGAGGATACCCTCGTCAAAACTGCTTGCTTTAGATTGAGTTACCTGTACGACGCAGATAGGTTTATTTGCAAAAAATCCGGCAGCGAGAAAAAAATATTTTAGGTTCAGTTCCAAAATACCCTTTTTGTGTATTTCTGAGATCATTCTCAAGTAATCAAACGTCTCTCCACGCATTCTCGCATAGACATCAAATAATATATTTAAATTTTTGGATGACGGCATTCTTTGACGATGATTTTACTCTATAGAATGATATAAAAAATACACGAGAAGGGCAATTTTTTAGATTATGTAATGTTTAACTGACAAAATACTAACCAATGGACCCTAGTGTCTATTTTTAAGAGTTCAGGATATTCAAGTATTGCAATTGAAAGTTCAAGGTATCTATCTATCACTATCTCAAAAGTATAGGGTACTTATTTGTATTTTACCCTTATTTTTATTACTTTATTAATATTTTATGAATATATAATTATTATTTTATTAGTATTTAATAATTAATATCTTAGTTTTCATCATTAGTTTATGAATATTTTATTAATATATCATTATATATTATTACTTTAATAATATTTTTATTAGGAAAAATTCCCGATTAATACCTTGTACTTTGGGCCTAATGCCACTTTGGTTCCCAAACTTTACAATGCAATAATTCAGTATCTAAACTTTCAAAATATGCCAATTTAGTACATACCGTTAAGTTGCATTTGAAAAGACACAAATGCCCTTCGAGTGTCATCTAATTTTCTTTATTAACCATCCAAACATTGATAAAAAATGAATAGTCCCAAATCCTTGCCCCTTCTATTCAAGAAAGTTGGGGTCACCATAATGCCCACCAGACGTGACCCCAACTTTCTTGAATAGAAGAGGTAAGGATTTGAGACTACTCATTTGTTGTCAACATTTAGATGGTTGATAAAGAGAATTAGATGGCACTCGAAACCCAACTTTCATGAATAAAAGAGGCAAAGATTTATGACTATTCATTTTTTGTCAACGTTTGGATGGTTGATAAAGAGAATTAGATGGCACTCAAAGGGTATTTGTGTATTTTCAAATGCCGCTTAACGGCTAGTTAATAGTAGGTATTGGATTGGTACGTTTTGAAAGTTCGGATACTAAATTGTCATGTTTTAAAGTTTGAGGACCAAAGTGGCACTAGGCCCAAAGTGCAAGGTACCAATCGGGAATTTTCCCTTTATATTGTTATATTTTATTAATAAATTAATATTTTATTATAATATTATTATTTTATGAATATTTTACAAATATTTTATTATTAATATACTCTTATTTTATTATTATTATCCTATTTTTACTTTCATAACATTTTATTATTTAATTATTAATGTTTTATTATTATTATTTTATGATTAATTTAATTATATTGTATTTAATATTTTTATACTTTATTATTATTATATTTAATAATTAACATATTTTCTGTCATTATTAATTTATTAATATTTTATTGTAGTACTATTGTTTTATTATTATTTTACTAATAATTTCTTAATATTTATTATTTTATTATCAATATATTATAATTTTAATTATTATTATTATCTTATTATCAATTTAATATTTTATTATTTTATTAATATTAGGGTTTTGGGGGCTTTAGATATTATGTATGAATTGTCATAGAGAAGGCAACCTGCAACTAGAGTGAGAGCTACCTAGAGTGAAGCTCTTGGTGGTGTACAAATGAACATGATAAGAAAAATGTTGATTTGGCGATGACATGACAGTGTTTATCAAAACGCTTATCACAAAATGCCCACAGAACCAAACATACACTTAATGTGTTTGATTTTTTAAAATACCAATTGTACCCTATCTCTATCAATTCAAGTATAAATTTAAAACACCACCGAAATGTCTTTCTCTTGCCTTGGAATGTGTAAATACAAGTTAAAATATATGTTGGGATATTTTAATAAATTTATATATGAATTGATAGATATGAGGGTAAAAATGATATTTTCATAAAAAAACAAATGCAGTAGGCCAGCGTTTTCCATATGGGACAAGGAGATAATTGCATCTTCTTTTTCAAAACGCTGTTTTTGTTAAAATGAAAACACATGAGAGGTTTTTATGATTGTCTAAAAAGTCAGGGGTGGTTTTTATATTTTATTCAAATAATTGACATTTTTTCTCAAAAAATACATTATACTCTAAATAATGAGCCACGTGTAGGATGCACATTGGTTTATTTGATTTAAGAGACAACACAAAAAGATTCCAGCCTTGGGAAAATTTTACTTAAACCTCCCCTAAGTTATCTGAGAATCACTTAAACCTCCCCGATTTTTTACCCTAACGAAAACCTCCCTTCACTTCTTAAAGAAAGATGCAAATACAAAATACCTCCCATATCTAACTTTTCTCTAGGGCTAAAACTTAAAACCCAAAGAAGGTTTAAGTACCAATTGAGGAGGAGCTTGGTACGCTGGACGAATTGTTCCAGCAGTGGTGCGGTTTCGAATCCTGATATTATCATCTTTGTAAAAAAAGAAAAGAACAGAGTTGTATGTGATTACTTAAAGGTTGTTGATGTGATGCTGTAGTAATGACCCCTTTGGGAGTGTCAAGTAGTGATTAATCCTAAAAACAGAATTCGATTATGATATGAAAAACATATGTTATTTGAAAATTTTCTGACCAGTCAACTGGAATCATAAATGTGATAGCCAATCAGGTGTTATTTCTCAAAATTCATGAATGGGTTTTGATTAGTCAAAACTATTTCCCATACCATATCTTTAGGGGTGTCATGATTCAGTTAACCATCGGTTCATCGGTTTTTTAATTTTTACAATATATATTATAAATATATATATATATAAATATATTATAAATATATAATATTATATTTTAAATAATATATTATAAAATATATATAATATATATAATATACATAAATATATATAAAATATATAGAAATATATGTATACTGGTCAGTTTGGTTAACCGCCGGTTTTCTATATTGGTTAATCGAAACTGAACCGGTACCTTCGGTTTTTTAAAAACACCGAACCAAAACTGAACTGACCGGTTCGATTAACCAATTTTTTTGTTCGGTTTCAGTTAGTTCTATTTTTTGCTCACCCCTACATATCTTTTCCGCATCATAGATTTTCCCAAAAGTTAAGTGATTGTCAAATAATTCATGAGATGTTTAAGTAATTTTCTCATGCATATTTTAAATTTTTATCATGATGGCCATATTAGGGGCTGTTTAACAAAAAAAAAAAAAATTGATCCAAGCCTCCGACCAGACTGATGTTTTGATTCAAACGCTAGTTTGTTTTAACCATGGTCACAAGAGATTTTTTTTTTTCTCAGTTTAACCAATAGTAGTGCCTCACATCAGCCATTAACACAAATAGATCTGTTAATAGAATGGGTAGCCCGACGGGCCGGCCCAATCTAAGTCAGGCTTGGGCAAGATATCAGGCCCATAGGCTCGGGCTCATGCTCGACCTTTTTTTGGGTCAAGCTCAAGTTTTCTCAAAAAAGCCCGGCTCGAGCCTGAGCCTGACTTAATAATGTATTTATATAATAAAAATAATTTTATACAATAAAAATATATATATAATATATTTTTTCTTTATTATTTTTATCTTTTTTTTTTGAAGTAATAGTGAAATCTTTCTTTACTTTTTTAGGTTTTAAGGTCTTTTAATATAAATAAAATAATTTTTTTATTGAATAAAAACAAATCTTTTTCAATTTTTTGATCAGGATCGGGCTTGGGCCCAAGCCCAGACTTCGGGCTTTATATAAGGACAGGGCTCGGGCCTGGATATATTCTGTTAATACAGAGATAAAGCCTGGCCCAACTTGCAGTGTTAGGGGCTGTCTAACCACTAATAACACCCATGTTAGGACTAAGTCATCAAAGTGTACATATCCCACAACCATTCCAATTTATCACTTTGCATGCATGGCTGATTGGGCGTAAGGCATTACCATTACTTAAACAGCGCCAGTCATCAAATGCAGCTAATACGGTAATACCATATAGAATTGGAAAGTTGGCATAGCATATTTTGCAAATTCCTTGTTAAAGGTGATGGGAGTATGAGAGAATACCATATAGTTACCATATTAGAGACCATTAGATTAAAGAAAATGATTAGGGCTGTCAACAGGTGGGGTCTAAGTATAACCAAAACCGACTCAATCAGAAATACTAAGGACCCAGAACTGAATCAGACCCGATAGGGTTTATAATTTTAGGTCCAGTATCAAATCGACCGGTTTTCAAGATAATCGGATCTGACCCAATGCACCCAAATATAATAAACTTACTGAATTGGAACAATATATCAGAAACGGGAACAGGAACCAATGCATCAGTTCTAGTTCCTGGAATGAGAACCTACCCAATTGGTTCGGGCCCATTGGATTGGACCTGACCCATTAACAGTCCTAGGAATAACCCTCTACTGCAAAGTCCAACTTTGACAAAGAAGAAACCTGTGAGATACTGTTTTTTTAGGGTAAATCTCTTTAAACCTCCCCTTCAACTTTGGCCTACCCTTAAACCTCCCCTGACTGAAGAAAGAAGCAAAGTCTAATAGTTGGCTCAAATCTTTGACCCTCTAGACCTATATATTGATGGGGATCACAGAATGTATGGTTTTGTATGTAGAACTAGAAGCAGAGGGTAGAACCAAAGCAAATTTGTATATAGCAAGTTACAGTGAATGGTTTTGTCTTTGTGAAGATAATGTGCTTTCATGAGCAAGGGGAAAGATTTGGCCCACAGATATATACAGAGTAAACCTTGAATGCCACATCATTTTACCCTTTTCCCGATTTTGAGATGGGTGGATTTAGAGTCTAAAATGGACACAGTAGAATATGCCTCATCTGACATGTCTTTTCATTAGCTTCACATTGTGCTTGCCATCTTTCATGCTTCCACAATTTAGGTTTTGTGCATGCCATTTTCAGAAAACCATTGACTTGGATTATAATTAAACATTTTATTTTGGAATTTTGGTTTACAAATCAGTAGAAACTGCCAACAGCTGCATTTGAATTGGGTGTTGTTGAAAGCACCCAACCTGGGGTTTGTTAAAATATCATTGAAAGTTCATCCTTTTGAGAAGCCTGATCCATAATCATGATATCAATGGAACCGAGGGGATGAGGCAAGATTCAAAAGTGCATTATAGAAGATAAAGTAGGTGTACCATGGATCCCAGTCAAATGGGTGAAATAAAAATGTATTTTCTTTTTTCTTGGGTATGGTTGCAGTGATTGTTTATGGGTTTCTGGCAAAGCAGGCTATGTCTTCTCCTTTGTAGTCAACACCCATCATTGAGCTTCCATTTGTTTGGTTCATGGACTGGAGACTTGACAGAATTGAGACTCATCACCTGCATATTTCCCAAGTCCAAACTAGATCTCAGTTTTCCATCCAAGCATGTAAACCAGTTTGCATTCATATGTGATTAGGCTGGGTTTGAATCAGGAAAATCCAAAGGGAAGCTTGAATTTAGACCACAGGCACTCTCACTCAAACTGAAATGCAAAGGGCACTCAGAAAAAAAATATATGTATAAGCATTGATTTCTATTAGTTCAGCTTGAGTTCAAAATTTTGTCTTGCTGTTGATCAAGCCTAGAAGCCTACAACCCAGCTTCATCACCTCAAATAGCTCCTAAGGTTTGGCACTGTAGTCAGGCTTTATCTAAGGATTGAGCTTGGGCTCTGGCCCTCAAAACAAATTAACCTGCCAGTGCTGTGCTGGATCCCGCTCAAGAAGCTCAATTACAGGACACCCAGTTCGGATAGCCATCTTTGTTAAGTTATATGCTTGAGTTGGCTTGTGATCTCTCCTCTGCAGCTTGTTTGCAAAAGATTTTGGGGAGTGCAAATCATTGAAGGAAAAAAGAGAAAAACTGGATAGAATTAAGGCTGCATTTGGGTGAGAAAATTATTGTTATCGATGTGATGCACTGATGCTGACACCCAGTTATGAGCAAGAAGCAAAGCCATCGGCTGTACCTTAATCTTCAGTATCAGGAGCAGCATGGCTATACCAGTGAGGTCTCGATAAAGTTAACAGGGAGGGAAAAGATGAAAAGGGTAATATGATCATTTTGAACAGAGGTTAACTGCTGATGATTTGATCTAGATCTGTTAGCCGCCCCCACTGGTTTGAGTAGAGACAGAGAGAGAGAAGAGAGAAGAGAGGTCGGAAAGGAGGATGATGGAAGGTTGCCAGTTTGAGTAGAGAAGAGGTGATCTTCACGTATAAATAATCTGTAACGGAAAACTTAACGGGAAAAGAGTTGTGCGACAATTGTCAGAAATTTACCCTATTAATTAATAGTGGCAGCATCTACATGTATTAATTGTCCACTACCATGCAATGGCTCTGGAATAAATCAGGGATATGAATCAGAAAGCACATGCTTACATGCGACTTCTGTAACATACTTTTTTATGCATAACTTCTAAAAGTACAATTAACTTAACTCAAACGACTTGAATTGATTCTCCGAAATCCAAATCAATGATTTTAAATTTCTAACATGGTTCTTCTGCAATTGCAATAGCTGGGGCCTTGGACAAAACCCATAAATTGGTCTGCATGTTCCTGGGTTCTCTCTAAGAAGCCTGAAAATGATGGGGCTTTGAACACACTCCCTCTAAGGCTTGCACCTAGTGCAGTATTTTTGTTTTTTTTTTTTTTTTGATCAAAAACTGTGAATTGTATTAATATTATGAAAGTTACAGAGCAAGGAGCTCAACAATCTTAGCTCCCGAGAACAACCGTTGAACACCAAAAACACGATTACAATACACCCCAAAATATAGAATTTCTGTTCACCCCTTGTCTAGCTAGACCATCTGCCAATACTGCACCTAGTGCGGTATTGATATATACCAAGTAGTCAAGGCACAGATACTATTTCCGAATTGTTACTTAACATTAACTATAAGATAAAAATCATATGACATGCTATCAGGAAAGCTATTCTGGAATACTGAACCTTCTACAAGATCATAATATCATATATAGCAGCAAAGATACAATTGAATGAATTTAGATACATAATCCATTACAAAACCCTCATTCTCATTGATTTTGCAGATTGATCTACAACTTATAGTAAAGTTATTGATCCCCCTTCCCAACAATCTTGCACCATTTTGAAGAGTATCCACTAGAAAACAACCACAGCATCACCAGTTGATCAAGGTTGCCCAAGAAGTGATGGTCTGTAGAAGGAATGGCTCTGTGCAATCTCAATACGATCACGAGGATCATACATGGTTTCATCCCTTAATGCTTGTAGAATAGCTTGTGATGGGATTTCCCTGCAGAGATGGGCCTCCAAACTTTCATAACCAACTTTGGACAGTCAACTGAACAAAATGGCTCGTCTTTTAAACTAAAGCTAACAAATCTAAAGACATCAATTTCTTTCTGTTTTTAGCCAAAAAAAAAAAAAAACAGATCTTTTTGTTTCTTCTAGGCCATTTACAGTTTTGCAACTCCTTGAATCAGAACATTCACAGCTTTGTCTATGTAAATAAAGATCTTCTAAAAGAAAGATAAGAGCTATAGATTTGTTTACCTTTTTATTAGAATTTTATATAAGGTCTTCAAGATGGGGCAAAGCTCAACAGGAGCAACAGGTTTGTTTTCATCAGGATGCAACACACTTAAGCTAGACTGACTTAGCAGCTCATAAAATGCTCCCACAGCAGAGACTCCCTGAGAAATTCAAGGCAGAGTAAGCATTCTTACTAGGTATGACAGTAGTACTGGAAACAAAAACAAGGGAAAACATTAAAGGTTAAGTATGTGCAAGAGTCACTGTTAGAGGATTTAAGGACAATATCACATGAGTCTATGAATTTGTTTTAGTTTTTTTTTTTAATTCATGGCAGTTCAAATATTCCAAGTTCTCTCATATGTAATTGAGAGTTGTGGTAAAAATTTTCTTCCACATTTTTTCATATGTTTGTAGGTCATTCATCTCATTTGGTATCCACACAGATTTGTCGAGGTGAATAACATGAGACAATAGTTCCCAGTAACAGCTGCAAGTTGAGTAACAAGGTTCATTTCCAGGTGATTTTCCAATCCAATGAACAGATAGTAAAGACTACTTTTTTTCTCTTCCCCATTTATCCTTTTTCAGCCATTAATTACATTAATTATATGATACCCAACCAAAACATTTGCCATTTATGTATTAAGAAAGCAGAAGTATTCTGTACCATACCCAATGATAAAAACACTATTTAATGGCTTAGTATCAAAGAAATACATAGATGCATTAGGGTATAAAGACCCTATCCAAACTTAGCATACCATATTTAGTATCCCGACTAAAAAGACCACCTTATGGTGATTTGGTTTGAAAAGAGAGGCACTTTGGAGAAGGGTGGTGGCCTACAAATATGGGGTTATTGGCTTTGGATGGAACCCTAAGGAAGTGAAGACATCTTATGGAGTAAGTCTAAGGAAAGGGATTATGAGTTTCAAGGCAGCTTTTCTCAATCTTGTTTCCTTCAAAGTTGGTGATGGAACAACAATTAAGTGTTGGGAAGATGATTGGTTGGGTATTGGGAAGCTTCCCTCAGCTGTACAACTTGGGCATGAAGAATAGCTCCATTTCAGAGAATTTTGAGATTAATCAAGGCAGAACAATTTGGTGTCCGAAATTTAGAAGAGCTTTATTTGATTGAGAAGTTCAAGAGTGTTTAGATCTTCTAGCAAAATTACAATTAGTGGAAACTCAGGTGGAAAGGAAAGAATCAAGAAATGGTTTATTTTCAGTTAAATCCTTCTCAGTCCCTCTCAAGATCAAGTGGGCATGTCTCAAGGGTGAAAGGCATTTGGGGAAACCCTATTCCACCAATGGTGGAAGTGTTTGCGTAGTCAGTGGCTTGGGATAGTATCTTGACTTTGAATCACCTTCAAGATAGAGGTTTTTTCACTTGACTAACAGATGCTACCTTTGTGAGAATGCCGAGGAGAATGTGTTCCATTTTCTGGTTGAGTGCCTATTTCTCCAAATTTATTTGGGGGTTTTTCTTTAGGCTTTTCAAAGTGGGTGGATGGTCTCCCATCTCAGTGGACGAAATTTTATCTAATTGGCTTAAGATAGCTGGGAATGTCAAGGCAAAGATCACCTGGATATGCATTCCTTTCACAGTCTGTTGGGAGATATGGCAAGAAAGGAACAGGAGAATTTTTAATGGAAAAGCTCATTCAAGGGATCACATAACACTCCTATGTGGCAAACAAGTCATGGACTGGATCTTGATCCTCCCAAAGTTCGAAGGAATCTCAAAGGAAGATCTTGGTGCTGAATTTTGGAATACATAGCAGTTAGCTTGATGAGTTTTTGCTTTTTTCTCTTGTTCTTTGTTTTTGGGCCCATGCTTATTTGAATCATCTTTGTTGCTGTCCTTCCCTTGTATTTTTCCTCTTTTGCTCTTTCTTGTAAGGCTGTTCTCAAGTGATATCTCATCATTTCCAGATGTACTGTTTTTTCATATTAATAAAGCTTTCCTTTTATTGATTACCGAAAAAAATCTTTTAACAATGTCTTAGTCTCATGAAGTGTTCTAGACTTTCTTAATTAAGCTAATCCAATACAGTAGACATTTTATTTGGATGATCAAGCAAGAACAGCAATGCAATCTCATGGTCAAAAACATAGTTCTTGAACCAACATGCAGTAGACATGTTTATTCCTTAAGAAACATGTTTGAGTAAAAATTCTAATCGTTGAACTTAATACATAATTAATGGATCTAATGAAGTACTAGAATCAGGATACGGACCTGAATCATTCCTTTTCCCTTGATACTGTCACCCATATCCAGGCTCAATTCTCCCTTAGCTAACATCTGACCATACCATGCATTACGACCTTTCAACAGGGTTACATAAGTGTCAGAAAGTAAAGGCCCAGCAAGTTTCTCTGGTTCTTCAGCCAACAGGTGTGTAATAAAAATCATTTCTGATGTACAGTGTGCAAAGTATACTGACTTGCTGGTAGCACTCTCATTGGTTAGAGCAGCTACCATTCCTGTGAGAAACCAAAATGAATAGTTACATGTATTGTGATTCCAAAACCTAGTATCATTCTCAAGACAATTGATTTGTTATTCAAAGTACTAATTCAAAATCTCAACAACTTGTTTATTATATAGTATTTTATAGATATTCTTGATGCTTCAAATAAAGATTCAACATGCTATTCATGAAGACAAGCATATAAATATGTTTGTGTAGCCTTTAAAATGGCAGGTCATGTATGTATATGTCTGTGTGAACAGATAATGGGGTCAATCCAAGCCATTCAACAAGTTGGGGCCTGGGGCCCTTCTGGAAATGCCACCTTTTCAATCCTCTTGCCCACATCATCCTTGTATAATCGTACCTTTTAATGGAGTAGAGGGCATAGTGTTGAAATCAAGAAGTTCAGGGGGGTCTTTGTTGCAAAACAAAGTTCAGGGGGCCAAGTCTCACCACCCCCTAAGTACAGGGTAGCAGTCTGTAATTCACCCTTATAAATACATAGATGGATACATAGATATGGGTATTCCTTGTAATAAACCCTTTTTAATAGTAAGGGAATATCTGTTTAAGAGTAGCGATGATTGAAGAAAATTGGTTTAATTTATTGATTTAATCCAAATAATTAGTGATTGAAAACATCATGTGTTCCTATTGCACAAAAATTGTAATTCTTAATGCATGAATTGATGAATGGCACAATTGTCCTATTTTTTTCTTCTATTTTTTCCACAAGAAAAAAAAAAGAGAAGAAATCATCATGCTAAAATTAAAATAAAACAAGCACTCATGAAGTTGTTGGTTTCTGAACTTGCATTAGGAAGCTAATATAAGCAAGGTAAGCCTAAAATGTTTTTATTAGTATTTGACTCATAAAGCGAGAATAACAAGCTTGGATTTTGAGCAAAACTGTCTAGCCCATTCAAAATGATCTTTTATTTGTCCCCTAAGCTATGTTAGTCCCTCACTGCTATTATACATGCATTAGCATTTGATGAGGCTGGATCTGATAATTGATGGTAACAACTCAAGATGAATAAAAATCTTCTAAGATATAATGATCTGATAAATGGATATACCATCAAGAAAGCTAATCTAATTATGGGTTAAGTGTGTATTATAATTATGTACAACAACTTTCCAAAGCTAAATAAAAAAAAAGAACAATTTTCGAAGGTTGAATCTAGTTAGAAAAGAATATGCAGAAGAGATATCTGCTACTTTGGCAGAAGTTACATCACTAATATGCAGAAGAGATACCAAGGTGCTTTGGTATGTCTGTAAGCATAGTTTTCAAGGCGCCAAGGCGAGGCTAGGCGACTGGGGGGCGCGCCTTGTCGCCTAGGCGATGGATTTTTTTATGTTAAAACATAGATCCTAGGATAGTTCCCTAGGTACCATAACCATATTTCTTTAATAATTATTCATGATTTTCATAAGAAAAGTATAAATTTTACATTAAAGATAGAAAATCAACATATTCATGAGAAGAAAAGGAAGAAAGAAAATAAAATTCAAAAAATATAGGGGTTGAACCCTTATTTTTGTTATTGGAAAAGAAGAAAATAAAAAGTAATGTAGTAGTAGTAGTAGTAGTAGTAGTAGAAGAAGATATGGAAGAGGCATATGTGCTGATTAGATAAAATTTTAAGTTCTTCCTTACTTATTGGTTCAGGTTTTTAAGTCTTTGAGGGTTCAATAAAGCATTTAGCAATGTTTGTGTTGATTAAACCCTAATAAATAAGAAAATAATAAAAAAATAGTATATAAACACACAAAATGATTATTTTAGTTTAATAATGTCTATTTTATAATTATAATCTCAAAAAAGAATGAATAAAAAAGTATTTTATAGTAGGAAGTAGAAAACTGCTTGGCGATTAGGCGAGGTGAGCCTCAAAGGGCGCCTTGTCGCCTTGACAACTATGTCTGTAAGGTTAATTCTTTGTTTTTAGGGTTGCTTTTGTTAGGGCGGGTCTGTCGTATTTTGGGTATGTTCTTGCTGGGTGATTCCTTATCACCCTGCTGTAATCTCCTTTTCCTTTTTTCTCTAATAAAGTTTATTTTTTATTTATCTTCAAAGAAAAAAAAGACATTCATCTCATTCACTGCCACTGTCATTGGATGAGAGTAATACCAAGTAGACTAACTAATGTGCTGTCTAGAGATTTGAAAACACGGTAGCGAAGTTATATCACTACCATTCATCACATCCACTGCAACCGTAATAGGATGAGAGTAATACAAAGTAGACTAACTAATATGCTGTCTGGAGATTTGAAAAAGAGGTTGCCTGCTGTCATTTATACCTCCTTTTTTTTTTTTAAGATTGCAGTCAACTTTAGGTTCATTAATTGGAAGTCAACAGTCAGAAACTAGAAAAACATGTTCTCTACTATGAAGGCATATCTGCTATTGTAGAAGAACTTACACTACTGTCATTCATCTATCCACTGCCACTACTTGCACTAAGTGAATTGACCAATATGCTATCAAGAGATCTAAAATACAAGGTGCATACTGCCTTTAACCTAACAGATTTCTTATATATTGTAATTGAAGTTTAATTGAGTAATTGGAAGTTTAATTGAGCAATTTTCTGGACTCCAGTGGTGGAAAGGTTGAGAAGAGACTAGCTCGGTGGAAAAGGAACTATGTCTCATTGGGTGGGAGATTAAGCTTGATAAAATCCACTTTAGCTAACTTACATGTCTGTTTCATGTCTGTCTTTAGAATACCTTAGGTAGTTGTAAAAGGAAATAAGGAATTGAGGAAGCTTATAAGGGATTTTCTTTGGGAACCAATGGAAGGGAAAGAAAGATCATTTAGTGAGATGGTAAGATATTTGCATTGGAGAGTTTCCATTTGAAGATGTTTTTCCTTCTTTGTTTGCTCTCACCCATCTTAAAGAAAGACATGCGTCTGATTTCATTCAGCCTTGTCCTTCTTCCTCATGGTTGAATTGGAACATGGGATTCAATAGGAATCTTAGTGAGTCTGAAATTTCTTTTGTATCCAACCTGTTCAGTATTTTGGATTTATAGTCTTTGATGATATGGGGAGAGAGAGCCATGTGTGGTCTCTTAATCCTTTGGGGGTGTTTTCTTGTAAATCCTTTTTACTTCTCTTATAGCCACCTCCTCCTCTCCTCCTTCCCTATAAAAGAAGTTTGGTGTTTCCCTATCCCCCCAAAGGTCAATGCTTTTTGTTGGGAAGTCTTCCATGGGTGCATTAATACTTACAATTTCTTACAAAGGAAGAGACCAAACTGGATCTTGTCCCCTAATTGGTGTTTCGTATGTAAGTAGAATGGTGACATTGCTTTTCATCTCTTAATCTCCTATCCCTAGTTCCAGGTGCCCTTGCTAGTTTGGAAAGGTTGTTTTGCCCATCTATTCTAAGGAGCACAAAAAGGAGGGACAGGATTCTATGGAAATGACAAGGGCAATGGTGCCTTGAACAGTTTGGGAAGAAAGGAACACAAGAATATTTGGGGGGGAGAGGAGTAAGAAAACAATGATTGAGATCATAACCTTAAGAGTTGCACATTAGGTAAAGACTTTGAAACTCTTTTCAGACTTTAAGGTGGAGTGCTTCTTTAGGAACTGAGGGGCAATAGCTGGCTCTTCCTCTAGGAAACAAAAAGTCCAACAGGCTTGGTCACCCCAGTTGGAGGCTAGATGAAATTGAACTTTGCTGGCAGTAGTATTGGCAATCCAAGTCCCTCAAGAACTAGTGGGGTGATAAAAATGAGGGTGGCAACTTATGTGCTTTGTTCTCCGGCCCATTTGTGCAAGGAGATTCGGTAAGCGTAGAACTATTAGCAACAATTTTGGGAGCACAGAAAGCTAAAGAAATGGGAATTGGTAGGTTGATTATTGAAAAGATTCGATGATAGTAATTGGGTGGTTGAGAAAAGGTGAGCAATGATCAGAAATGTGCTTGCACTTCAAGTGGTTATCAAGAGACATGGACATTCAAATAAGATGGGTAAGAAGATCTGCTAATAGCTTGGTAGATGGCTGAGCAAAGCATGGGGTTCAAAGACAACAAATGCATTGGGCACAATTGTAATTTAGTGTTGGGTGGGTTTGCTTTGTAATGGATATTCCAGATTCTCACAACTTTTTGTCGTAATCTTTTTATTCAAATATATTAATGAAAGAATGATTTTCTATGTTGCTGGTCAAAAAATAAAATTTTTTATGGTCTAAAACTAGCTTCAAACCATATAATTTAACATTCTGTTTAGATTACAGGAGATTCAAAGTACGATTTGACAGAACTGATGCAATAGCTTGTGCATAGTTTGGTTTTCTCCTCCTTGGAAGCCCGAAAGGAAGCCATCAAGTCTGAAAAGAGAAGAAAAAATTGCAAAAAGATTCCGGTCTCATTTTCATCTCACAAAAGGTATCTGAGATATAAGTTGGAGAGAAGCAGAAGTAGGGCCAACAGACTCAGTGAAACCAGCTATCCAGCTTATCCTAGGGCTTACCTAGAACATAGTACTACAACAAGAAAATAAAATTTCTCACCCATGTAAAGGAAATCTGATTTCTCCTCTATATGGGACAACAATGGTAATTTCATAATTTTCTGGTGATTCTACTTTGAGACAATTTGGTTCTTTTGAGAGTTATTTTCCAGCTTGATAGTGTCTTAGGAATAGGTTTTTATCATATTAAGCAATCAAACTAGTTTAAAGAATCTTATCTTTGAGTTTTCTGAATGTTAAAAAATATTAGTTGGAATAATATCATTTTTATTTTAACCTATTTTTCAGTGGTCTAAACTTATTTATTTTGTTTGATTTTAGTGTCATCAGATAGGTTGTTTAGCTGCCCCTGGATGGAAACAAAGATTTTGTAAATCCAATGTGTTTTTAGAGAGTTATTGTCATTTTATTAATAGGTTGTTAATCATTGATGGGATTTGAGTTTCTACTCTGCATTGGAGGTATTTCTAGTTTGGTCAAGTTTGGAGGAATAGTAGTGGGCATCTAGAGTTGTTATAAGAGTTTAAATCCATAGCTATTGTTTCCCTGTCAACCCCACATAGCACACATTTCAGGAATCTGCATACCCCTTCTCATCAAACCATCTCTTTTGAGAAATTTGTCCAGCACTGCAGTCCATAACGAAAAAGCTACCTTCAATGTTATGTATGGAATCCAGAACTGCTTATAAGGAAAATCCATCTCCAAAGAATCACTCAGCTTCTTATAAAAGGACTTAACTGTAAAATTGCCTGAGTTGCCCCCCATCTCCATCTTCTTGCATCCAAGGCTCCTGGATGCAGAAGGTTACAGTTCAGCAGTCTAATCATGGACTCCAACCCCTCAATTTCCTTCATTTAAATTCCTCCTCAAGGTGGGGCACCAAATAATCCCACCCCACCACCAATGATCTCATGCAAGTCTGCCACCCTTTCCACCCTATTATCTGCCAGAATGAAAAAGACTTGGGAACCTGTTCATCAAAACTCTATCTTCACACCATCTATCTCTCCAAAAACTAGTTCTATCAAAATGAATGTTTGATGTTTATGTAGTGCCAAGAATTGGTGTTAGAGTTTCCTTTTCTTTTTGGTCTGTTTTCCTATCTTCTCTTTCTTTTCTATCTCTCTTTTAAAGGTATGATCCCTTCCTCTTTCTCTTTGTCTATCTATTCCTCTTTTTTTTTTCCTTTTTTATAGATTATCTATTCTTCTGTTACTTTCTTATAACTCCTTCAATCCAACATTATGAACACTTTACACAAAAGGAATACGAAGACTTTTAATTGATGAAAAGGCATTTTAATAAAGAAAAAGAGGAAAGATACAATAAATTCATTACCTCCACATTAATGGATAAACCAAGAAACCAAAGTAAAAAACAAACCATACCTGTGAAGCCAAATATGGATGCCAACACGGACACAGATACAGGAAATCAGGAAATATGAATACAATTCCCCATGTTCTCAAAATCCTGGACATGAATATGGGTATGGCTATCCCATATAAGATGCTTATGTATCTAGTTTTGAACTATTTTAAATTTATCAAGACTTATGGCTTGCCAAATTTAATTAAATTTCTAAAAATGCATATTTTTATAGTATGACTAATGATTTATTAAAACACACCATTTTACATAATTTTAAAATCCTTAATGCTACAGATTTTATCTAAAAGTGCCTATGCAGTATCTGGTGTCATATTGGGTATATAATATGTCTGAAAACATTATGGTAGGCTATAGATATCCAGGTATTATAGAACCACACCCAAGCTGGCGATGCCACTCTTTGTAAGCCCAACTTCAATGTCATGATTTGTGAAAATATAGGAAGATTAATAATTTCTAAGTATTGATGCAAGCGATGCCAACTTTCCCTCTTAGAGAAGGATGCATTGTTTTTACCAATGAGTATAATTATGCATTAAAATCCAGGTAAATCTATAGTTCAAATAAATAACTAATAAAGAAAAGTCTTTATTGGACTTAAAATACAAAAAAGAAGGGAATGGAACAATGTAGTCAAGGTCTCAAGGTCTGGCAATAAATTGATATAGCAACAGCCAAGTACCACATCACAATACACCTTTAGGTAGTGAAATGTGACAATCCAATGCAAGAACATATAGATTATATTCAAAGAGTATTATGATAAAATTACACAACAATTCCTGTAATAATGCAAATCAAACTGTCATCTAGTTAGCCATTCATATGATAAGCTAAACTGATGCAGGCATTGGTCACAGAAAAGGTCATGGAGAATGCAACTGATTGAATAGGCATTATTATTCTCTTGCATTGAGAATGTTGAAGTCAAGAATTTGAGAGGGTTTCTAATTTATTTCCAGATTCTTCTATTTCTTTCCTCACTTACTTTCCAGATGGTTCCAGAAATAACTTACAATAAAATTAGAGAAAGTAGATAGTCACGTGTAGACCTGTCCATGGACCGGGCTTGGCTTTTGCCAAAATTTGATTGGGCCTGGCCCAAATCCCAAGCCCAAAACAGTGTAAAGCGAAGTCTGAAGCCCAGCCTGTGAACAGGTCTAGTCACGTGCATAAAAGACCATCAATAGCACCTGTAAGAAGTGATAAAGCGAAGTCTGAAGCCCAGCCTGTGAACAGGTCTAGTCATGTGCATAAAAGACCATCAATAGCACCTGTAAGAAGTGATCTGTTGCAAGTTGAAGGGGCTAGAAGGGGTAGGGGTAGACTAAAAGGGATATAAATTGGAAGTAGTAAGAAATGACTTTTTTTTTTCTCAACTTAAGAAATGATGAAGCACCCATAATTTAACAATGGATATGGCACTAAACAGAATGGAATGGCAAAACAGGACTCATTAGCCAACCCCATATAGTTAAGATAAGGCTTGGATGATGACCATCATTATCATCTAAGCCCCATCCCAACCATTAAGAAAAGATATTACATTAATGGCTGTATAGTATAGACATGCAAATCAATATTCTCAGATATATTTTCTCAAACAGAACAAAATATAGAACTAACAACATTGAGTAGTAATAGGGCTGAAAAAATGTGTTATGTTCATATGCAATATATCATATTCTACCATGTCATAGGATTGATTAAGAACCTATAGTAATCTAATTCTGGAAATTCTTTGCAAAAGTTCTATCTAAACAAAAAAAGATATGGGCATTGATGGTTGTAGAGTCTAGACATGCATATTAATATTAACATTCTTAGATATGGTTATGGTCCCAACTCCCAATTGATCCAAGGTCCAAATATTCACTCTGATTCAGGTGCCTTCTCCATATTTCCTCAAACTCAGTTTCATGTCACAAGAAAGGCTGCCAATCCTAGGCACATGATCAACTCAGCTCAACCCAATCAAGCTCAGACCTAACAATTTGGGTCTAATGAATCAGCTACATGGATCATGTTTCGCCATTTAGCCATTTCACCTAACAATCAGGCTGCCAATTGCAAGTAAGTGGTTAAATATTTCCTCAAACTCAGTTTCATGTCACAAGAAAGGCTGCCAATCCTAGGCACATGATCAACTCAGCTCAACCCAATCAAGCTCAGACCTAACAATTTGGGTCTAATGAATCAGCTACATGGATCATGTTTCGCCATTTAGCCATTTCACCTAACAACCAGGCTGCCAATTGCAAGTAAGTGGTTAAATATGGGTGACTAGATCATTCATCATATAAATTCAATATGAAAATGCCTAGCCTGAGGCACTGCCAGTACCAAATATTCAACATTTAGTATCAATCCTGTAGCCCAATCAATAGGGCCTTCTAGTTTTTGTTTTATTTACTATAGTCCTAATATCAATTTTAAACTTCCAATCACCTATCAAAAGGAGAAAAGTCAATAAAAATCTCTTTCACACAGTCTCACTTCAGATTCTGTTTAATTAAATAGATCCTACTGATATGTATTGATAAACTAAAAACTTACCAGCACCAATAGCATAAACATTCTTCAAGCCTCCCATAACTTCATGAGTGACAAGGTCACTGTTATCCCACACAATGAAGTGGGGCTGCCTCAAAAACTTTGCTAGAGGTTTCCTCCATTTATCAGCTCCACATATACGCGCATTAGCATACTCCTTGTTGTAAATCTCAGAGGCAATATTTGGTCCTCCAAGATAGAGAATGTTCTCCATAGGAATACCAGCTGCCAGGGATATGCACAATTCAGGCTTAGAAGGGGCATTTTTATTTTATTTTTTGATAAAAAGTACAATCAAACAGAGAAAGAAATCAGTCCACTTTTTTCATTAAGTACACTAATATACAGGGAAAGGGAAAAAAAAAACAAAATAGTTACAAGAAATCCATACTTTTTTGGTGGGGAGGGGAGGAACAATTTCTTTTTCTTTTTTGTTTTCTTTTGATAAGTGAAGCAATTTCAAGCAATTGGATCGATATTAATATTTGCAGCATAATAAGTCACTGAAGGCATGTATGTTATAGTTAAAGGCGGTAAATATTCTAAAATTAAATTCATACATCTATTCTATCATTACATATACAAAAATGACATTATGAATCTAACTGTCAAAACATATGAACTAATTAAAAACAAGAAAAAGAAAGTCCTCCATGTGTTAGAATATCAAGAAATTGTGAAGACTTACGGTAATTATTGCTTCAATGAATGAAGATACATGTTTCTCCTCCAAAATAGATTTTAGAGTGTTATTTACACACCTTATGGTAAAGGGAAAATGTGTTCTATTACAATGAAAAAGAGGAAGAACCTACTCATGAGTTCATGAATCAATCAAAAGAAAATTTTGGATGAGCATGAAATTGTTAAAACCAGCAGATTCTAAGTTACAGCCAACTAGGACTACAACAATATGAAATCCATAGATATCTGAGAAAATGTGTCTGACATTACTTTAGCCCATTTCCAAACTGACTAAAGTCATCATATTAACCCCCTGTCCAAGGTTGACCTCCCGAATAAAACCACGGCACCTTTTTCTATTCTCATACTATAACCCTGACTACCACTACCATAATTCTACTGTCTAATCAACTGTGCAACTGCCAGTTGGTCATTTCTGATTCTCTGACATCCTAAGCTTATAAGAAGCGACAAACATACAAATTCAACTCTTAACCTCTATTTAGCAGAAGATGCTAAAGTACCTGCTTCCTGAATTTCTCAAAGGACAATTAAGTGTTCATTTCATAACTCCTTAACAAAACCATACACAGAATTGAGATTATGTTAACAACAAGTGAGTTAGAGATGTATTCAAAGAAAAAGGTAAATAAACAAACGGATCTTTAATGTAAAACAGAAAAAATAAATAATAATTGGAGCAGGCATTGGAACTACAGAAACCCAAGTGACCCAGAAACCAAAACAGAAGGAAAAAAGAAAAAGAACTCTTACTTGCGCGACTAATCATTTGTGTTGGAGTTATTATATGGGGAACGGGATCCAATGCAGCCTCTATACCCTTTGCCAAAGAGATGATAACTGGAGTTGTTAGTCTCTCTTTCCAATACCTGCTGATCTCTTCGAAAAGCTCACGAGTTTCTGTCGATGGCAAGCCATTGATCACAATATCAGCATCCCAGACGGCCTCCTGTAAGTTGGTGACAACCTTTAATGGACAAAGTGGCGTGTCAATCATGTTCAAGCAGAACCCATCTCTCAAAATTTCATCAGCATACAGTGTCCGGTCACCTAGTCGTGCCTCAACATATTTCAAGTATGCACAGCGCCTGATCAGGCGCCTCAATACATCCTCCCTCGAATTGATCACTTCAAACAGGTGCTCTGCCGTGGCCCTGTCGACAGTCCTACCCGGCCTTCTCCAAATCCTGATCTGCACTTTTTCTCGAAGATGGCCATAGCTGTCTTGCAGCAGAGCTGCAAAAACACTACCCCAGGCACCAGCCCCAACACCCACAATCCTCAGTAGGTCACCTTTAGCTTTGCCCAAAAGGCGACGGAGCTCGTCAAGCTTCTCCTCCGCACCATTGCCATTATGAATGGAGCCATTTGAATGCCCATTCTGGACCACTTCTGCAGTCCCAACCATCTTTTTTCAATAATCTCCAACACCAAGCAACTTAGAGATTACAGTCGATCACCACTAAATAAGAAAAATCAAATCCTCAAAAGGAATCGTCTTTGTGGGTTTACTGTTAAGATGCAAGATCAAAATGGCCTCTTTATTCAGCTTTCAGAAAATGTTGATTCCCATCGGCCAATCAATATCGAATTCGTTTGAACTTCAGGCACTCCTAGGCTACCCAAGCCTGATTCTTACATGGGTTATGCTTCACAGACAACCTAAGCCCCTACGGCACTCAAGCCTAAGTTTATTTTCAATTCTCCTTGAATATCTAGGAAAAAAAACTGAAACAAAATGAAAAAGCGTTCTGCAAAGATTTGAGTCTTGTTTCTTTTCTTCAAATCCTACCAGAACGCATGAATAATTTCAAATATTAAACCATAAGTTTTGGTCATCTACCCAACCAAACCACCCAAAAAAAGTTACGAAGAAAGAAAGAGCAAAACCTTCCGTGACAGATACTCCAAAGCTCAGACGAAGATTTGGGTGTTTGAATTTTCTTCAACTCGTCTCAACTCTCAAGCCAAAACCGACCAAATTTTTCAAGATTGCAAATCTGGGTGCCGGCATTGCTGTTGAAAGACGAGATGGGTAGTTGAGTTTCTCCAAGTTTTGCCAAAATGGTGAACAATTAATAAATATAAACCCAATTGAGCAGTTGTTCTGTTGATCTGTCTTTGTAACTAAAGAAAACCTTTTTGTCCCTTTTGAGGGCTTCACTCAAGTCTCTCAACTCAGAAAGAGAGAGAAAGAGAGAGAAGAGGCACTCGCACGGACACGAGAAATGCATGCAAGCGAAGAGGGGAAGAATGCTCGAGTTTTTGTTTTGATTTCTTTGGGCTCTTCGCGTTTTAAAGATTACAGAATGCAGAGAGGAAAAAAAAAAGGTTTGGTTGGTTCTTGCAATTAATATCTGGATGTTGCGTCTCCCAACGGTCTTAAATATGAGAATGCCGACAGGTGACTTTTCACTGCACTCGTGTCGAACTGTCAATATCCAAGAGTTTTGTTTGTTTGCGATGCAATTTCATTTACACTGATTATGTAAATTCTGATTTACTTTTACTTCAGTTTTTTGAGGGTTATAGGAGATAAAGGGCAGCTTTTTGCCTTGAATATCGATAAAAAAAATATTTTTATAAAATAATAAAAATAAAATAACTTCTTTTTGAAAAATATAAAGGAAGGGTAATAATACGTTCATCGTCTCCCTCTTCCCATGTGCCCCGCATTTGCATGGACTCTCGCTACAGAATCTTCAGCGATCCGGTGGACTCTCAAGTCGCAGCTTAGCTCTGTCGAGCAGCCCTGTGATACAGAGGTAGAGGAACAAGACCCAAGAGTGGGAGTGGGAGTGACTTCTTCCAACTGCTTAGCTCTAATCCAAGTATACCAACGGTGCAATAGGGGTGTCCATGGATTCCTTTTGGGTTGAATTCCGTTTAAATCAAAATTCATTTGGACGGACTAATAAGACATTGAAGTTTGACGGACTGGACGGACCAATATTACGTATTGATTAGACCTGGTCCATTCATAATGAATTTATATTGGATTGAGCCAATATCTAATCTATTGATAGAAAATAAGAACATAGGTGTCAATGGACCAGGTATGAGTTGAAATCAATCTAAATTAACAGAAATTTAAACATATTAGAGAGTCTCTAAACCAGTCCAAAATAGTTTAAAATATTCATTGGACTGGATTGGACCAAGTTCATTCGAAATAAACTCACATTGGACTGGACTGAATTGGACCAAATCTAATCCAATTGACACCCCTACGATGCAGTTTCCTCTAGTTCCAACACCCGGAATGCATTTTCATGGTAAGATTGATTGATCTAGGTATAACTTTCTTTTCTTCTTATTTCTTATTTTACTTTTCCTTTTGTCTTTAATTAAAAGCAAATGCAAAACTTATAAAGTAAGAAAGAAGGAAACAGGGGACAGTAGTTGGAATTCTCTACCATATGAAGACACTTGACAAAAAGACAGACAGATGTTTAGAGGATTCTAACACTCGGCCCTCTCAAGGCTCAGCTAATCTGGACAAACATTCGCATTTAAAAAAAATTCTAAGAGTAGGTGATCCTCTAGCCGCGGCAGGGATTTATGAGACTGATGAGTTAACAACCACTGTGGATGCATTGCAAAACGCCCTTCCAGATACTAATCCACAATATGTCAGCCCTTCAAGAGAATGTTGTCACCGCCTGTGCCCCTAGTACAGCAACTGCGAAGGAGAACACCGCCTGTGCCCTGCTCTGCTTGGATTCACCATCATGATCCATGCTACAGTTGTTCATCACATGAATAGTGTCAACCAGTAGACATTGTTCGTCATCATGAACAAAGTCAGAGCTAGCAACTGCCTAGATTCATCGAGGCTTCAAATCCAATGTATTTGAATGAATACACAGGAAGAGGAAGATGATGAACAGTGTCATTGTCCTTCCTTGATATTTTTCAAAAAAAAATTACCTTATTTTTGTTTATAAAAATATTATCTTTTATTGATATTCAGGGCAAAGAGTTGCTCGTATTTGCTAGAAACCCTTTTTTTTTGTCAAAAGGAGATGAAATTATATATTTATATAGAGAAAGTTACATAAGGGGATTGTCTCAACTTGTAGCGAACTCGGATTAGTCTTTTACAAGATAAGTAAGCTAAATTATGTGCTGCCTGGTTATGTTGCCTTACAATATGTGCAAAATGTATATAAATAAAGGAGTTAATGAGTCGTCTCAAGTGACTTCTATGTAACTGTTCGATCTAGTGAGCAACTCAGTTAATCAATTCTTGCAAAATCTACTAAAGCAGCATTGTCTATATATACCAAAAGACAAGTAATACTGATGGAGGATGATTTGGCCCGACCTCGTAGCACAGGTACACGTGGGTGTGACCTTGCTCAAACGATGACTCAGCGCGACAGCACTCGCAGCCGCAACTCGAAGGGAAGGTCCCACCGAGTTCAGCCTGGCAACTCGGCGGGATAGACTACTTGCCAGGAGCCGCCTGGCCTGCACCGCCTCCCCGGGGCTAAGGC